ATATCCATTAATAATAATAATGATAATGATAATACGACAAATAATCAACTAAAGCGATAAAAGTATATCGTCGAGACTACGTTTTGGTTGTTATTACCTACGAACAAATACTAGCAAAAAGAAACCATTTTTGAACAGTTGGAAATGAATTTTATATGTAAGCAATAAATTAATGACATGAGTCGCATACGTGTTCTGATCCAATAAGAGTTTCCTGGACCTTCACCCATGGCTGTAAACGCAGAGACGTAAATAATGTAAGACGTTTGTGGTTCTAAATCAGTTAAGATAACCCGCCGCTCCTCTGATTCCAAGGTAACATTTTTGGTTTGTTGGGTCCGGCGGTCTCGGTAAGACACTCTGTATCCTCGCAAAATTCCACCACTATCCTCTTGAGGCAATGCATACCAACTGACAAAAATACTCTGATAATCCAATGCAAGGACCCTGTTGTACGAAGGTCCACGAAAGGGTGCTGTAGAATAATACATTACTCGTTTCTTAGAAGGGCGGAAGTAAAAATACCCTAGACAATGTATACCAAATAATGAGGCAAAAAGGTAGGTAGTATATAATTTGTGAATCAAAGTTTCCCGTTTCAATTCAATTGATTTCAAGGGTCTATATGTCATATCAATGTTTCACAGACTGGAAACAGGACAAATTTGGAATCATTGGGCAATTAGACAAGTGTTATTCTTGGTGCCAAGTGCTGTTTGTAAACAGTTTACCGAAAGACCACGACAGAAGGACCGGAGTCAAAAGTATATTGATTTTTATGAAATATATCTTGCTGTTTTGTGTTTGTATATTTCTTTGTTTGTTTGTTTGTTTGTTTGTTTCGACCGCATCTTGGTTACAAGTACAGGATTTTTAGTTGTATCAAAGTGCGCTTTTTAGCATTTCGTACAGAGGCACCTTTGTAGTGAATATATATGTTGTAGTTCAATTTCATACTTGGTTCAAATTTTATTTTTCTATGTTCTTGGTCATGTTAATGTATGATAATGAGTTCTAAACAAAGGAAAATAAAATTTGAACGAAGGATAAAATTGAACTACAACATATACAAGTACTTCAATAGGAAATAACATAGATTCTCAAAGCAAAGCCTTTTATGCGCGCGTTCAGTACACTTAACTTTGCTGCAACGCTTGCTAAAGCTCCCAAGTTATTTTCATTTAGGTCGAGTCTTTCTTCTTTGTTGCCAACCTACTACAGGGCTTATCCCGTTTTCCCTAACATGAAGCAACTGGGAGTGCTGTTATTCCATATAGTCGGGTGGGGAGGGAGGGCAAGATGCCGAATTAAGAATAAACGTGACTTTTAGGTCTGAGGATAACTTCAGATGATAAGCGTCGAGATGCCGATTAGTCGGAGGATCACACTAAACGACGCAACAAGTACAATTTTGCTATTAGGATGAGCCACATTCAGTTTGGCGTTTGTAAAGTGATAATGAACAGACAACCAAATAAAGAGGAAAAAAAAACAAGGAATAATGAAATTGCTTAGGTTCGGGCTCGGAGGAATCTTTTTCGTTGTTTCTGAAGTCTTTCAAATGTTCCCGAAAGCGATTTCCTTATCTTTTTCACATGCCTATAATGTAGAGCTTTTGGCTTAGAGTGAAAGTTACATGCTAAATCTATTAGAGAGGTATTTTTTCTTAGCTGTCCTCTTTATTCAAGGCTCAGAAAGTTGCAAAATTATCTTTCAAACTGGCGCCTTGGCTTCCTAAGGAATCAACAAACGCCTTACATTTAACTAGTTAAGTTTTTAATGCCTCCTCGTTACCATTTAACTAGACGTCATTTTAAACTTTATGAACACAATTGCAATTGACAATCCCTTATTTTCTGCGACAAGGGTGTAACACTGTAGCCGTTAAGATAGGCTCTTTCAACTTGTTGCCGATAAATAGCTCAGCGTTTTTACGAAAAAAAAATAAGCGAAAAGAAATTCGTTACCCTTCCTAAGTAGCTTCACCAGGAGGCAAGCGGAAGTAGCTGTCCTGAAAATGTGAGGATTCCTTCCTTACCATTCAGAGATACTTCAAGAAATAGAACTAAACATGGGTCGCATTTTCGATGTCATTAAATAGACTGCAAATTACTCACCCCCCTCTGCAGTTTGAGTTTCAGCACTTTCGCTGGTTTTCAGGGATATTTTACCACTAACACGATCCTTGAGGAAAGCAACAGCTTTTACTTGGTATTTCACGTAGGATCTCAGTCCACTCACCACCTTGCTCAAGGAAGTAGAATTTGCTTCTTCTTGTACAAGTATGTCACCCATACCATTCGAAAGCATGCGCAAGAAAACCACGTAGCCATATATGTAAGTGGAGTTTAAGCTGGTAGTACTTAGTGGAGGCCAACTGACACCAATTGCTCTGGAGCTGACGTTACTTATTGTGACATTCCAACCACGTTCATAGACTACTTGAACATTAAACAATAAAAGACTCAGTGAGCAAATGGCTTCAATTTCGCCTAATCTTGGATTATGACGATTGTTATTATCCAAATACACTCCACAGAGTACAAATAATGCAATAGAAGAATACAAATATCACGCGGTATTTGTACTCCAGAGAACCGGTTAGACAGGTTTTCTCGCATCGCACAAGCGAATAATTGGATTGAAGTTACGAAAAAAAAAATGGCAGTCAATTTGAATCATATTTCTGACAACGAATAGTCGAATGGCAGGCACTGAACTGTGCCAAGGGAAACGACTTGTTGATGGAGCAGATGTCGAAGAAAGCGTAGATGTCGAGCTGGATTGTGCTGGCATGTATCCACTAGCGATGTGAGATTATTCTGTCTTTCAATGACAGTTATTTCGTCATAATCATTCAAGGAGGATTCCTGAGCATGTCTTGGAACGAGGGTGACCGCGTTGAGGGATTTGTGGACTAGGGGGTCGAACAGCTGACTACAGAATAAGACTATTCCTGTTTCGACTACCAAAAATTACTTTTAGCCTGGGAATTATCGTTAGATATAACAGAGCGGATTTATTTTCACTCTTCAAACAATTTCACGGGATCTCTCTCGCCTCCGTCAGTCGACCACATCTGCTGGGGAGAGCGGCGTGTCAGATTTCTCAGCCCTCCTTGCCTCGTTTTTTTTTTTATTATTATTTTCTTTGAATTCTACCACCTTGCTCCCGTCTGCCATCTGGAAAATGCTAGAATCTTCCACATCGGCGTCTTAATGGTCTTGCCTCCCTTCGAAGCCCATCGTCTCGATGAGCTTTTTGAAGCTTAGTTTTGTCGACTCGAGGCCATTGTAGTTCTCGAGTTTGCCTTCTCTCCAGAAGATTACTTCATCTGTTTCGCTGTGTGGCAGTGCTTTATTTGGGCATCTAGACGCGATATCTGAACAGCTGGTTATTTTGTTTTGTCAAAAAAACCTGTTTAACCGGTCGGTGGCGCGTGCTACGTTTCTTCTTCTGCTTTTCCCGCCTTATAAGAAATTTGCATTTACGGGCTCTTCAAAATACAGCACAACTCGTTAAAATACTCAGCGATACCTTAACCCTGACAATCAGATAACTATTTGCCAGAGCTGATTGATATTGATTCATTTTTAATTAACTTACCATCGGAGCGTGAGTTGTTCATGATGAAATAGCGAGCTTTCACTAGATTATTATTATTTCTCTTGTAAATACTGACTCTCACAAAGCTGTCCAACACCAAAACTGCCAAAGGCACCTTTTGATAGCTGTCCAGCCACTTTCTTTCTCTCGCACTTCTGATATAAGTCCTAGACGTTATCATCAGTGAAAAATGATAAATGATCATTAAATTTGCGCTAAACCACGAAACCGGCTCTTAAGCCTGTTTACAAGCTCCCATACAGGTAAGCGTAATGGCAAGAAAACAAGTCCACGATATTGACCCGGTCGATATTTCTAATGGTTTAGGAGAAAAATGTTGACGTCAAGTCGCATGAAATTCATTACTATCATCTTGTCGTATGTTTCCCATCTACTTATTTGGTTGAGGGGTCTCCATCAAATTTTAATCGCATTCGCTGATCCATATCGAGCTAAAGGGCAATGTAGATCTCAGCCTCGTTTCCTCTTGAAATATAAAGCGCGTGACAAAAAGGCCCTCTGTTTTGAAATCTATACCACAATTCAACTCTAAGAACTACATCACATCGATCAGGTCGGTGTATGCTCCCTGACTATAAATTAAGAATTTAAAGTCTTACCAGGCTTCATTAGGTTGGTATTCTTCAAAAAGAAGAAGGATGCTGGAATTCACAACCGGAGATCGAATCATCCAATTACAAGTTCTATAATAATAGAACTGGGATCCACCGTTTATAATGAATTCACCTGATGTCTTATCAAAGTTCTGTCCACACTCTGAAAAAAAAAAAACGATCAAGTTAGGCCTCTTCCTTACAGTGATGTTTTCTCGGATTTCCCTGAAATCCTGAGGTCAAGGAAACGTGACTTGAAAACAACCAACAATGCCTTTTGCGTTCGTGTACCGTTTCTGCAAACAGCGGTATATACACATAGATACTTACAAACACGCATACATACTTACAAAACTTTATTATAACGTGGGACGCGTGCAAAACCTACTTATTTTCTAAGGAGCTACTAAGGTAAAAATCCTTGTGTACCGCATCCATAACATGACGTGTGCGGTTTCACTCCGGCTGAAAGTTCCCGCCGAGTTTAGCCGCGAGGTTTAAGAACTTTTAACATTGTTTTTCCGTTCTATCCCAACTGAACTGTTCTGTGGTGGAATTTTGCTTTGAAATCGTATCATTTTCAGAATTTTCAACTAAATCTACTCAAATTTCTGGTCGTTAACTCTAGTAAACAGCAATTCAAGGAGGGTAAAATCTACCTCGGGGGTCTCGTAAAATAAAGCAAGAAATTTGTTAGTTTTTCGCATTTGTTTCGAACGACTGACACTACTTTTAAGTGTTGATATTTCGTAAAATTATTTTCGGTACAATTTTCAGGCCGTGATTTCTAGAGATCAACAATTCCAGCATGCTGAATCTACTATGTAGTCTTGCACACGCAAGGAATTCGTTTTCTTTCGCTTTTGAGCAGAAAATTTACAATTCTTTGAATGAAGATTTTCTTGGTGGTTTTTGCCTTGCCCTTTATTCATAGTATAAAGGTATAAGCCCCAAATATTTTCCTATATTGAACTTTAAATATGGAACAGTAAATTTAGTAATGAGATACCTGTTACAGCATATGTACAACGTTCTACACCTTCCCCGACGGATGTACGACCGGTAACTCTGATCTCATACTTTGCAGCCTTTTTCAGACCGGTTATAGTTATAGCATTCACGTTAATATTAACACTAATATTCGTGAAGCTCTCGTTTGAATTATAAGGTCTGTAGTACACTGTGTAGCCAAGAAGAATTCCATTTGCCTCCTCGTTAGATATTGAACCCCACCTAATTCGAAGACTGGTGAAACCTCGGTTTCTTGCATACAGCCATCGAACAGCATTGGGAACTAATAAGAGAGAAAGTGAATGTAATGTGGTTAACAGCATTGAAGATCCACTCTGTTGGAAAAAGGAAAAAATATCGGTCCAAATGTTCTAACAGTGAAGAGGAATATATATTGTGACGCGTCTCCTACGAACGCAACTTAATTCAACGCACCATGCGCTGAAGTTGATAATTCGAACAAAAATATGCAAGATTCGAGAGTCTAGAGGTGCGCCAATACGCCTTAAGTCTAAAAATAAAAAGCCAACGTTTTTAATGACGTGCTGAGCTCCAGCCATAAGCAGTAGAGAGCGTTGGGAGAGGTTTCCACGTAGGCTTTTGAAGTAATTGCCGAAGAGCCCGCCATTGGAACGATGGGGTTGTTGTTGAATACGAAACACATACTGAAAGGGCAAGATTTTCTAAAACACCAAACCAGAAGATAACCAAGTGTGATACAACACTGGCCTGACCCTTAGGATATTTCATCTTCACTTGAGTTGTCTAAAGCCGTTTCTCAAACGAAACCTTTTTTTTTCCAAGACATCGGCGTGAAGACTTCAATCGATTTAGACATCAGAGTTAAGAAAAGAAAAATAGCCAAGTTAAAACCTAAGTCCTCTGATAGAACGCCTTAGCCACTTGTGAGTTGCATTAGATTGATGTACATAGGTTTATTTCACTAGACGAAAAAGTGACTTCAGTAAGAAAGAGGCCTGATATTTCTTAAGCACAAATTGACTTCTAAAGCTTAAGTTAACTTCTATAGAAATAAAATGAATAAATCAACAAAGTTGAAATGGTAGATTGGCCACCGTTACGATTTTAAAAGCTGACGTTTCGAGCGTTATCCCTTAGTCGGAGCGAATAGAGGAATTGTGGGTTGTGTGTGCTTTTAAAGGCAGAAAATGGAGCTACGTTATTCCCACCTATAACGTAGCTCCATTTACTGCCTTTAAAAGCACACACAACCCACAATTCCTCTATTCGCTCCGACTAAGGGATAACGCTCGAAACGTCAGCTTTTAAAATCGTAACGGTGGCCAATCTACCATTTCAACTTTGTTGATTTATTCATTTTATTTCTATAGAAGTTAACTTAAGCTTTAGAAGTCAATTTGTGCTTAAGAAATATCAGGCCTCTTTCTTACTGAAGTCACTTTTTCGTCTAGTGAAATAAACCTATGTACATCAATCTAATGCAACTCACAAGTGGCTAAGGCGTTCTATCAGAGGACTTAGGTTTTAACTTGGCTATTTTTCTTTTCTTAACTCTGATGTCTAAATCGATTGAAGTCTTCACGCCGATGTCTTGGAAAAAAAAAGGTTTCGTTTGAGAAACGGCTTTAGACAACTCAAGTGAAGATGAAATATCCTAAGGGTCAGGCCAGTGTTGTATCACACTTGGTTATCTTCTGGTTTGGTGTTTTAGAAAATCTTGCCCTTTCAGTATGTGTTTCGTATTCAACAACAACCCCATCGTTCCAATGGCGGGCTNTTTTTGTTTCGAGCGTTAGCCCTTACCATTTCAACTTTGTTGATATATTCAAATTATTTCGTTACCCCCACCGACGCAGCCCCAAACAGTTTCTTTAGAAACTATCAGCCTAACTTCTATAGAGTCTACCAAATCCCAGCTAATGCCTTGATTTTCTCTATCAGTTCCTTCATGTTCTTTTATGCCTCATTTCCCTAATTATCAATCATTTTCATTTTTATCATTATCTTAATGGATCAATAGATTATTTGAATTTACTCACCATCCTCTGGAGTTGTAACCTCAACAGCTGCACTGCTTTTCGTTGAGATCACACCAGTTATCCGATCTCTTACAAGAGCTACAACGTTTACTCGGTACTTTGTGTATGGTCTAAGGCCTCTCACCCCCGTACTGAAGAAGGAGGAACTTGTGTTCCTGGAAGGAGCATTTGTCACATTCAGCATAAGTATATCACCAGTATTATACTTTGTTATGTGCGCGGTAGGTACATAACCATATATGTAGGTGGAATTTGAATTTTCGTCATCAAGTCGAGACCAACTCACATCGACGGCTGTTGAGCTGACGTTACTGACTGTAACATTCCAATCATGTTGGTGGGGATCTTGGAAATGAAGGCATTCAAAGAAACCTTATCAGTCATTTAGGGAAACAATATATCTTAAATTTTCTACTTTTGCAATATCTACGAATTCAAAGATCAAAATAGTTTTTGCCTCTCTTTAAAACGCGAAGAAAAGGACTCCTTCACTTTTGTGTATGAATTAGAGTGTGCAGAAGGGCCACTGTAGACTCAGTAATGAAATTATTTTAACCGCCGCACCTTTCTTAAAAACAAAAATTGAGGCGTTGCTAAATGTAGAGGCCCGGCAGGATCAGGTCATCTTACCTATTCCGATCACCAAAGTTTATTCTCTTGCACTGGTGACCATAAAATTTCCATTTTGAAAAACTTTTCTTTTTCTATTGCTTAGAGGCTTGTTTCATGAACATTTAACGATTTTCAGGTACACAGGGAACATGATTTAAAGGTGAGTCATCATCCATACAGTATCCGTGACGTCGAGCAGACCGAATGGTCCTATTGTAGCAAGACTGTTTATTCGTCCACATTGTGTCTAACATGGTTTAAAAATTCAACCACCGCGAAAAAAAAAAGATTTTTTTTTCAAATAAAAATAACATCCCTTGTCTCATAAAACTATCTGGGATTTAGCTCCCTGAAAATGTTCCCTTCTCTTTCCAGTTGTTTCTTGTTAATTCTTTTCTAGCTGAGAGACCTTTTCAGGCTTTATTTCGTATCAAAATTCATTTTTTGATCCGTGACTGATGTAACGGATGGCGAGAGTCCAAAAAAATATATCTTTATTCTTACGGCATGCGGTGAAAAATATCCATTTTTTTCGGAAATTTCAATGGGGTTGTAAAACTTTTAAAAAAGGTCAACGATTTTAAATATTCTTGTTGAAGATGCGAACATATGTAGATGTCTTGTTCACTTCAGTTGTACAACTTGTATAACTCTCATTTTCTAAATAAGATTCTGAAAAATTATTGACCAAGGAACTTTCAATCCAAACAGTACATTTAATACGCATGATGCACGATCCTTCGCAGGAGATAGCGCTATTTATGCAATAGTGAAAATCAGACCTGAAAAAAATCAGGCCTGTACGGGATTCGAACCATTGACCTCTGCGATACTAGTGCAGCGCTCTACCAATTGAGCTAACAAGCCAACTGGGAGTAGGCCGTTAAGTTGATTCGTAATAAACCCGTGATGAAGGATCGTGCATCATACGTATTTAATACCGCAGTTCAAAATATATGAACTTCATATATTCATTGTATCAGTACATTTAATGTTCAAAATTTTGGATCACTTCGAGTTAAAATCGCTTAAATTGTTTAATAATAGAACAAGATGCGATCTTTGTCGCAACTTCTTGGTTGAATTTAATTCCTTTTCAGTTTTCAAACAGGCAAGAGTTACAAGATACGATCGAAACTTTCCTGTGATTCTAAGAACATCATTTATTTGGCTTCGTGCAAGAAATGTTACCTACAATACATTGGTTCCACAACAAATTACTTTAGAGTTAGATTTCGCAACTATAAGTCTGCTACGGTCACTAAGAAAAGACCTGTGAAGTAGCGGTACATTTTAATAAAACACCACATGATTTAAACACGAAGGCGCGCTATAAAAGGAGCCTTAGGTCCCACTGGACCATTTGTCAATCAACCGTCGTGTGATGTAGAACTCTCAGAGTCAAGTCAGCTTGAGCTACAGCTACTCCAAAGCAGTGAACAGCGGGCGCATTCCTCAAAATTGTTTTATGTCTTCATCACAATACAAGAATTTTTGAGATTTGTATTTCCTTTCTCCAATGGAAACTGTCTTTATTTGTGGCGGTAAATTTGAGATCGAAGTAGGTGGTTCGCACGTTACCTCATGCCACCATGCTGGTGGAAGTAAACAATAGATATCTCATTAGCTCCTTTTGTTCGTCTACCAGCATTTAAATTTGACCCGCACGCGTCAGCTGTGAGTGACAAATGAGCCTAGTTCTTCCCAGGGAAGACTTCCTTATATAACGGGCCTTCGTGTTTAAGCGATTTCTCATTCCAATGCATTGATCAAGTGCAGGTGACCGTAAACAATTCAGGTAACATCGAGAAACTTTTAATTACCAAAGAAGCATATTGGAGCACAGAGTTGTTCTCTCTGGCACCTTTTGGCTTGAATAAGCGCCAGGAATTTCACTCCAAAAAAAGAATAAACTATGATTTTGGTAGAATTCTCGCCTTATTTCAACGCTGGCTCCCTAACGCCTTCAGTGGATTCGACAATTTTTTAATTTTTAATTTTTTACCGTTTATGTTAATACGTGTTATCACGCCTTCTTTGTAAACCTATTTAAGGAGTTTGTAAGTTATTGTATTACAACTAATGAAGGTCTCTGACCGAAAAGTTTTTTATTAAACTTTTTAGATTTTTTATTAAGTATATGTCTTCCTTCGCTCGAAGTTGTCCGTCCTCGTGTGCCACACTACTTCTTCTATTATTTATCGAGGTTTGGACTGCGAATCCTTTTGGATCCTTCTGGCGCGGCGTCTCTGTTGGCTCGAAGCCTGTTAACTTATTATTATTATATATATATATTTATATATAACCTAACCTAGACAAAAAGTGCACTCCGAGTCGTCAAAAAGCGATTGTATATTTGCCTGCATACCTTTTACTAGTCTAACTAACTGGTTAAATGGGGTAAGTTTCTAAAGAAACTGTGGTGCTGCGTCGGTGGGGGTAACAAGGCAATTTAGTAATATCAACTAAGTTCACTCTTTACGGTGGTCAATTTACAACTTCAACTTAGTTGATGTTACTGAATTAACTAACTGGTTGCTCCGTTTTCATTTTCGCTGCGCGGCTTAAGTGAAAGAACTTATTTACATTAGAACGAAAACCACTCGCAAATTGAATGTGCACTCAAGATTTATAGCAATTCCGTTTCCAGTCCGCGACTTCAGCTTACACTTGATAGTTTTTGCGGCCAAGTTTAGGCGTTTTAAACACTTTCTGTAACTTTTAACGAGGACTCCAAGAAAGATCTAATTCAAGCTGAGACGGTAGAAACAAATTTTTTTGAAGGAAGATGTATATGGGGAGTAAAAGAAACAGCTCGACGGTGTTTGAATCAGTGCACACGGCTCGATGCTGTTGTCTTTCGATTATTCCACTTTTGTCGTAGTCTCCTTCGCAGCCGCTCGGGCAGGAGTCACGCAACGCTCCCCGTGGGGACGGGGAGCGTTGCGTGACTCCGGCCCGAGCGGCTGCGAAGGAGACTACTTTTGTCGTGATGCGGTCTTTAAGTTAAGTTCTTGCAATCGAAATACATTTTCACAGTAGGTAAAGTTCTACTGTGCAATTGGCCCTTCTAGGCTTGCAAATTTTAAAAAATTTCCGTACAATGAGATTATCGGATTGCAATCGCTACTTCTCGTTAGTTTTCTTTACAGTTTTTGCTCAGCTTCTTCTGTGTATTCAGGTATTCAGCAATAAATTAATTACAGTCTTCGCTCTTCTGGCCGACAGTTCATTCAGTTTCCGGTGCTTTGATTTTTTTATCTCACTTTTTGACAGTTTTCATGAGAATCAGCGAATTGATCACAAAATAAAATTAAATTTATCATTCTCTCCGGCAAAGTTCACTCATATTTATGTCATAAAGGCAACAATGAACCACAATTTCTATCAGCTAACCAGCCGATAAACCACTTGGGATGTTGGGAAAGCACTCGAAAAGTTTGTAAACCAAGAGGCGTTGCAACTTTTCTCGAGTTCTTCCAACATCCTGCGGGGTTTATCAGCCAGTAAACCGATAGAAAGTGTGGTGTATGGCTTAAATATAACCATTTTTTACTCATTTACCGTCCACTTGTGAGTTAAAAAAATGAGCTTTCAGTCGAGTTCTGGAGTCGTACCGACGGCTAAATGTAAATTCAACGTAGTTGTCCAATACCAATACTGCAAAAGGTATCTGTTGGTAATAGCAGTCCTGGTACCTTGTTTGTCGACTGCTTCTTACTCGTGTATAGCTAAGAAACAATGAAAAATGGTAACTGATGATATTAATTGTACCTGTGTATACATTTGAACCAATTAGGAAGGCAAAAGACAAAAACCTTTTTGTCCTTCTATAAATTTTTCAACGTTTATACTGTAAACTGTCCGTCCTCGCACCTTGGACTGCGAGTCCTTAAAGGACCCCTCTAGGACCCTTCTAGAGGGTTATCTGTGTTGTTTTAAATGTATTATTCCATTTATTAATCGTTTGGTAGCCATTTTATATGCCCGTATGTGATCGCTTAGTGCCTGAAACTTAACTTGTATCTCTTCGTCTTTAAAAAGTCATATCATAGCAGACTCGATTCTTGGATCTGAACTCACACCTTTTGTTCAGGCCATGTTCAGGCGACGTATGTTCATATGAGCCCTTGTCCGTAAATATCGAGAATTTGTCGACAGATTCAAAACTTCGTAATTCATTTTGTTTTTCCTAAAGGACCATTTTGGTGAACCTTCTTCAAAACGTATATCATCTGTTCAATCGCGCTTTGCTTTCTCCGAAAAATCTAAAACTTCAAAATACGCGCAAATGGCAACAGGACTGAGAAGCAAATAAATTGCAAAAACAACCGACGCTGTTGCTTCATATACCCTCCTCAATCATGTTAGCTTATTCTGAGTACGGCATTTCAGACATGGCGTATATGCTACTGGTTTTCCATTGAACCAGAGTACCTGCACAATTATTTCAAAATGGTGTTTACAGGTCGTGGAAAATGGCTGGGTTGAAATATAGAGAAAACTAGGTGGAGTAAACAGTCATACCTGGCGACTTTATTAAACTCTCTAACAGCCCGTGCTGAGGAGTTTTAATAAAGTGGAGGGTTGGAACATAAACTAATTGGAGCTCCGCTTTTAGGTTTTGCTAAATCTTTGTATATGTGATCTAAACAAGTTACAAACTTAAGTTCTTACCTACAGCCATAATAGTCTTCAAAAACAAGAAGAATGCTGGAGTTTACTACCGGACCCTGGATTATCCAATTACAGTCTCTTGAATAATATGAGCGCGCACTCCTTAAACTGATTTCACCCGAAGGTTCATCAAAGTTCTGCCCACACCCTGTAATATGAACTTGGTAGTGTTAGGCAATTTTCTTGTTAACATGAGGATTTTGGGAGTTGAGTGTAAAAGGTTGGGAAATACGAAGCTTTCGACTGTTCCACAGTCAAGTATGATAAAAAACTTATGAAACAGATTTAGAAACGCAACGGGAAATTAGAACTGTGTTATGCTAGCTAATGAATTATCTAGGAGATGCTCCTCTACTTTCAGTTGCACCGGTGACCATGTCCCGATCTTGTGGTATGCGTGTATGAAATGAATAATATCAATGATCGTTTGGGTGGTTTTTAGAATAGATCTAACCATAAAACGCCCAAATTCCAAACTTTCTTTGAATGTGGCCCATTGAAGTAAGGTTCTGCGGCTTTTTGTCGACATGCCTCGATTGAGCGAGATATTTTTCACCATTCACCTTTCAAAACGTTGATTATAACATAGCGCGCGCGCTAGTCCTAT